AGTTTCTTTGAAAAGTTTCTTAAAATGTTGCGAGTTAATTGAGTACTAAAGAGACTTCGGAAAATCAAGTTTCATATTGATAATGACATGTGCTTTGCCTACTTGTGACGTATGCATATCGAATTTATATCCAAGATGGCGAAATGCACGCTGTTTTTGATCAAAATAAGTCAATTTATTTCGAAAACCAAGCAAGATACGGAATAATTGTAAAAGAAGTTTATATATCATTTTAAATGTTCTTTCAAATAAGACAAACTTAATTTATAATGCCATATTTAAATAGGCATTTCTAAATTGAGAAAGTGTTGATGCATTACGTATGTCTATACGTCTAAGGAGTTCCAATCACTAGCAGCGAGAAAAGAAAAAGAGCGTTTACCAGAATTGGTGCTTACTCTAGGCAGTACTAGATTATTGTTAGTTGATCCTCGTGTGTTTTGACAATGAACATTTTTGAAAGGGGTTAATAAGTTTTTCATATAACCAGGACATAATTTAAATAATTTTAATAATTTAAAACCCAGTAGGCAACGGAAATATTTGATGTGTTCACCCATGGGTTACCAACCAAGCTGTAGAAACAACGGTAATGAATGTGCTTTCCCGTCAGTATCAAGGATTAACCGTGCTTGCTCTTTTCTGCAATTTTAAAATTTTGTCAAAGTTCTTCTGACAGGTGTTTCCCCACACAACACAGCAATAGTTTGTTATTGAGAGAATTACACAATTGTAGAAAGCCATCCTTGCCCGAAATGGTAGAAAATGTCTTATCCGACGAAAAATGTGAGACTCATTTGCACAAATTGTCAATGTGGTTATTACAGTTCAAATTCTGGTCAAAATGAACACCTACTGTAACAGCTTAATTATCATTATCTGTGGTCTTAACCCATGTTTATAATAGTTTTGTTTGCGGAAACACCACGTAAATTTATTACTGCAAGTTTATATTACCACAAATTATTTATTATTACAAATTGTTATTTATTCTTGAATTTTTTATTACAATTTTTTTTTATAAATTTATTAATTTATTTATTAATTTAAATTTATTATTATTTATTACTACAAATTTATTACCATTTATTTATTACAAATTTATTACCACGTAAATTTATTACTGTAAATTTATTACTATTTATCTATTATTACTTTCTCCGTGTTTACTACCATCCTGTTGTTTTTTTGACCACTTCACCACTGGTTGCAAATCACTATTC